TAACCTTCATTTCCTGTACACAAAGCACACAGTAACCTTCATTTCCTGTACAAATGGAACACACAGGAAAGTTAAAAGCATATAAACCACTCTCTGCTGCCATCATGTGGCAAACATCAGCACCTGCACCCCAGGTAGCCCTCAGTGTTGTTGTTGTTTCCATGGCTACAGCCCTCAGTAGTCAAGCACGGGTACCTGGGGCAAACAGTGGAGGTGAGGAGGAACAAGAAGCCAGCAGACATGAACAGGTACAGTGTTCACAGCTCATTTTCCTCCTGACTGCAGGAGAACCTTCATTTATTTATTTGAAGACTTAATGTGTTTCAGCAGAGACGTTCAGGTGCAGGCCATGGAGCAGACTCTGAAACACGCTGAGAAGAACCTTGGAGAGATCTGCTCCATCTTGGCTTCGTATAGCAGAAAAACAGCCAAGCTCAGGGACAAGGCCGACCTGCTGGTAGCTCGGCTCTTCGACTTCTCTACCACAGAGGGACCGGAAGTCCAGGTCAGCCTCAGAAACTTAGCGGAGGATCTGGCCATGGTTCAAGACTACAGACAGGCTCAGGTGGAGATCACTGGACCTGCATCTTTAACTTTATATGCTGTATATAAATATGTATCACTGTGAGGGGTGGGTTTGGATATGTTGCAGGTGGAGAGACTGGAGACAAGAGTGGTCGCTCCTCTGAGGACATATGGAGATGTCGTCAAGAATAAAAAGGTAAGTTTAATGAGGCTGTGAGTGATAATGTAACATAAATATCAACACACATGATTGGACCAAGCTTTTCTTTATTTGATCATCATAATTTAAAAAAATAAAAAATTCAAAAGCTTCTTCAGTTTAACGTCAAGTTTAATTTTTAAACTGCTTCATGTCGTGTCTGCATGTTTCCTTTGGACACAACTGATAAAAAATTAAAAAAATAATATTCACAGAGTGGACTGTAACAACCAGAAAAACAAGCAACAAGCTCGTCAAACAAGAATACACTCATTGTTTTTCTACAAACACTCACTGCTGAAATCCCTGCAGCTCCTCTCATGTGGCTCCTCTGACCAGCATGAATATTATATATATATATATATATATATATATATGTATATATATATATATATATATATATATATATATATATATTTTATATATATATATATATATATATATTTTATATATATAAATATAATATATATATATATATAATACATATATTATTTTATATATATATAATAACTATGTAATAACTCTTCTGTATTACCCTGCAGATAATAGCTCCTGTTATTAACCTGCTGATAATAACTCTTCTGTATTAACCTGCTGACAATAACTCCTGTTGATAACCTGTTCCTGTTCCGGCTTCATTTAGAGTCAGATTTCAGACTAGTTGAGCTCCAAATCCACCAGAAAAGTTTTTTTTTCAACAAACTTCCCAGTAATCTTTGTATAAGCAGAAAGTGGTTTTGAACGTCTATGCTAATGTTAAGGCATTGAAAAAAATTTTTTATTTAAAATACAGCGACCTGTTTTTTTTTTTTTTTGTAAAAAGAAAAATCTAAAGCTGGTTCTGAAAGAGAAGCCACTGAAGCATTTCAGTGGTTTAATCTTAACAAAATCTACCCCAAAACAACTCAGTAAGCATTTAACACTTTAGACAAAACTAAAAGCAAAGCAAACTAGAGACATGTCACATACTGTTAGATCTCTTATTTATGAGTATTAGCTGAAAGCTGCTGAAGAAGCTAAAATCAGCCAAAAAGGTTTCAACTTTAAACAGGGTTGAATTTGAACAGCTGACATTTGCTGAAAACTGGAAAATAAAAACAGCAGAAACGTGTAGAACCAGCTGATCAGAGCGGAAGCGAGTTACATTTTACAGTAATTTCTTTCCAACGTCAACCAAAGGCTGTCTGCTTAGAAAACGTCTGCTGCTCATCTTTTGTTTTAAGGCTTGGTTTGAGTCTCACTGAGGAAACAGGAAGTGGATTTTTAAAAGAATTGTCTTCTAATGTGAAAGAAATATCATATTAGGAGAAGAGTTTTATGTTTTGACCATTCGATACACTCATTAACATGAAACCCCTGCTTGTCTCTTGTTGGTTTTAAAATCTGTCCCCTTCAGATGGATCTAAAGAAACTCAGCGCCGACCTGAGCAGAGAGCAGAAGGAGCTGCAGAAACTAGAGAAAAGCCGACAGAGGAGCCCTGCAGATCGACAAACCATCGTATCCTTACAGAAACAAATTGTGTCCTGCCTGGGGAGACAAATTTTATCAAGCATGCTAACTCTGCTACAAGAAAAAACCCTGAGAAAAGTCTTCCAGATTGTCTGAAAGAAAAGTGATCCTCCAATTCCCTTCAATTGCATTAAATTTCTGGATTTGTCCCTCTGGAGTGATCAAGTTTAACGAACACAATCATGACACATGGCAAAATGTAACGTTTTGAAAACAACTTCTATGATATTTTCTTGAACACACTTCCTTTCAGTCTCAGGTAATGTGTATGATTTAAAACTGCTCCATTAATTCCACCACATCACGATGGAGGTTTAGATACAACTTCTTCTGTCGACAGGCAGAGGTGAGCGCTCAGAAAGCCTCGTCCAGCGCTCAGCACAGCATCAAACAGCTCCAGGAGACCATCACGGACTTCCAGAGGCACAAACTGGAGGATATTAAAGTCTGGTTCACTTATCATACACACACACACACACACACACACACACACACACACATGCACACGCATGCACACACTCATAAATCTCTAACCAAGCTAATCACTGTAAAAAAAATTAGAAAAAAATCACTGTAATGCCACTTGAATTGGTGAAATGTGACATTTGTGCTGCTGATTATGTCATTTAGCTGTGCTGCTGATAATCCATGCTGCTGATCTCATGCTGCTGATTATCTCATGCGGCTGTATTCATTCATTCATTCATACCCATCTGCTCACCACAGACTCATGTTCGGGCTGCTGTTGTTTCGTCGTTATGTTTTACATTCTTAGTGTTTAATGTATGTCTTAGATCTTTTAGCGTACCGTTTGGTGTTTGTTTAGTGTGTATCTTAGTGTATATCTCAGTTCCTTATATAATGTTTCTTTTTATACTTTACATTTTACTATTTTTGGGTGCATGGAACCTTGAGTACATAATTTCATTCCACCCCATGCACCTCATGTGGTGGAAACAATAATAAAGATGACTCGAACTTGAACTTGAATACACACACACACACACACACACACACACACAGGTTTGTTTTGCTATCTTTGTGGGGCCTTTGCATTGACTTCCATTCATTTTTCATTCATTTCTATAGCCTAACCATGACCTTTATCCATAACCTAACCATTACCAGTACATACCTAACCCTAAACCTAACACATCCTCAATTCACACCTTAGTCCTAAACCTAGCCCCTAACCCACCAACGGGACTTCTTCTTATGGGGCCCGGGCTTTGGGCCCCATAAGGAGCAGTTGGTCCCCACAATGTAGTATAAGTTGGAAAAATGGGCCTCACAAAGTAGCATAAACAAGGACACACACACACACACACAGTGTTAGACTCAAAGCCAACATTGACCTTTTTTCCTCTTGTTTTGGCAGAAAATCTTTTTGGACTTCATCACTGTGGAGATGCACTTTCATGCTAAAGCGCTTGAGGTCTACACTCACACGTACCACAACCTGGAGGCGATGGACACTCAAAAGGACCTTCAGGTAGATCATGCACATAATACAACTGGTGGACAGAACATGAGGATTTTTTTTTTCTAAAGTTGGATGAAGAGAAGGTAGAGTGGTGGCTCAGTTGGTAGAGCTGCTGCCTCTCAGTGAGAAGGCCGCTGGTTCAAATCCCAGCCTGGGGCCTTTCTGGGTGGAGTTTGCATGTTCTCTCTGTGCGTGCGTTTGTTTTCTCTGGGTACTCCAGTTTCCTCCCACAGACCAAGAACATGCATGATTGGTAACACTAAATTGGCTCTAGGTGAGTGAGAGTGTGAACGGTTGTTTGTCTGGTTTGTCTCCATGTGTCCCTGTGATGGACTGGAGACCTGTCCAGGGTGTCCCCTGCCTCTCTCACAGTGACTGCTGGGCATGGGCACCAGGGACCTGAAAAGGAGGAAGCAGGTAAAGATAAAGAATAGATGGATAGATAGTTGGATGGCTAGATGGATAGATAGATGACAGCTGTGGCTGAGTGGTTAGAGCAGTCGTCCTCCAATGCAAGAGTTGGGGGTTCGAATCCAACAGCAGTCACATGCCGAAGTGTCCCTGGGCAAGACACTGAACCCCTCATTGCCTCTGATGTGTGTCCCATCAGTGTATGAATGTGATCTAAAGCACTGATTAGTTTCTTTAGAATGATTTGTTCAATTAGCTTTGTAGAGATCTAGTATAGAGCTGTATGAATGGGTAAATGAGGCACAGGTTGTAGTGTAAAGAGCTTTAAGTATCTTGATCAGATATAAAGGCGCTACATAAGTACAGTCCATTTACCATAGCTGGATGGATAGATGGATGGATCACTCACTCCTTTCTTCTGCCTCTCAGGTTAATTGTCTATCACTGTCAAACCTTTACGTTGGTACAATTTCATTTACAAATTCAGCTTCAGTCTTCTACAAACTCATTCAACTTCCAATGTTACTGAATGTTAGTGGCCACTAAACGTCCTTCATCACCCTTAATGTTGATGCGTGCTGAACTGAGGTACAATCAGACGTTGTCCTACTCTCCCCCTCCATTTTTAGAATATAAACTATACAGTAGTCCCTCGCTACTTTGCAGTTTGATTTTCATGAACTCACGCTTTTGCCGTTATTCAACGTAAGATTTTACACACGATTGGCTGATTGATGGAGTGAGCCACACGAGAGGCATGTATTGTTTATTTAAAATATTTTCAATAATTTAGCACCTGATACTCACATATCAAAGCAAAGAAGTGGGCGTGGCAGAGAGCGGAGATCGTGACACGCTGTGCCCTTTTAGATCGTTCAGAGTTTAGAACATTGCAAGAGTGTGGGAAGGGTTTATAAAGTCTTTAATATATACAAATACTAAAATAAATTTAACGTCCTTACTTCACGGCTTCTCACTTATTGCAGGGGTGTCCGCAACGTAACCCCTACGATAAACGAGGGACTACTTGTATTTGAAACAGAGATCTGAGCAGCTGAAGGATGGCAGAGACATATTTTGGTCTTATTCAGACTATCAGTCCTGTTGAACATAAACTTTATTTATCCAAACTAAAGTTTTTATAATAAGGTAAGTTAATGAACATGAATCACCACTTCAGAATGATTGATACGTACTTTTAGTAGCACATTGGTATGTCTAGAGGTTTTCCTTTTGAGATCCAGATGTCTTCTCTCTCTCTCTTTGTCAAAGCTGTTTTCCAGTCGAGTCATGGTGTCCAACTCTCAGGCCTGGGCTCTGAACAGTTCGGCTCCTCTCACAAATCACTGGTCCAGATTTGCCTCCACCTCCTCGATGGACCAGGGCCTCAGTTCAATGCAGACCCTCAAAGCAGCTCAAAGAAAACAACAGAACCAGCAGGAAGAACCAGCTGGGAGGGTGAGCTCAACAACCAGAACGTTTTAAGATGAAACAATTCAGCTCTTGATCTGTTCTGAACTCTGTCTGCAGCCTCACAGCAGCTTGAAACACCAGGCAGGTCTGAAGGAGGAAGAGCTGGACCAGGAGGAGGAAGAGCTGGACCAGGAGGAGGAAGAGGAGGACCAGGAGGAGGAACAGGAGGAGTCTGACATGGAGACGGAGCTTCGGGAGCATACCAGCCGGCAGTCGTACGCTGCTCAGTATGCACAGCTGCTCAGACAGCAGAAGTGGAGGAGGGATCAGGCCACAACATGAAGGCCGTCAATCTTCTTCAGGTTGCCATGGAGACGATTCGATGATGACCATAAAAATGGCTTCCGCTCTGTGGTTTGAGAATGTACAGAGTGGAGTTTCCCAACAAAACCAACTAGTTCAAAGCAGAAAAAGAAAACCTTTTCTGAGTTCAAAAGGTCTTTTTGGGAATCCTAAAAGGAAAATTTATTTTAACCTGCAATAGTTTTAAAGCTGATTTGTGTCAAATACTTTTTTTTCTTCTGTCTTACAGAGTGATGCAACAATGCACAACAACCCTAATTTTACATTTTCGCAAAGTGATGAACTTGTTGATAGTGTTGCTACTTTCATGCAAACATCATTTGACAAAACCGACCCTCTGAAAAAGACGGTGGTTTGTCAGACAAAGCTGGCTCCTCGGTTTGAATCAGAGTTGTTCTTTTTAAAACAGGCATCTAGACATTTGTTTAAGAACTCTGTTTAACCTGGAGAGATGTTCTGCTAACAAACAAGAAAACCTTCATGAAGCTAGAACTGTATATTTTTCATCTTTAATAGAAGTGAACAAGTGATTTGTCAGCCATGTGGCAATGATGGCGCTGTTTATATGTTGTCACTTTATCTGGTCCAGATATGTCTCATATGAACAGACAAGTTCTCTTTAGTGTGAACCATAAACAATATTTGAATTTTACTTTTGACATCACCTTTACAGGCTTCTCACACACCACAATCTGATTCTTCCTTTAGTGTCTTCCAGAATTTATGTGCAATAAAAAAAACTCATAAAGCTCTGACTGCGTGGTTTTGAACACTGGTGTTCCACAGGGTTGTGCGTTATCAACACTTTTATCCTCTTTAAACATAAATGAGTTGTGACATAACAACAAAGATCAAAGTTCATGCTCAATAATCCACAAAAAAAATCAAAAAAAGTTAAGTCACTTCCCCTGAACAGTTTCTTTTTGTTGAAATGTTTCCTCCCTCATCCAGAAGACTTCTTCAGTCCAAGGAGCCACAACAAACTCAGTCCCATAAGCAGCACATACATTGTAGGCCAACCAGTTTGATGATGATAAGATGGTTTCTGGAGTCTGCCCTCTCCCTCGTTGACTCGTCTGAGGCAGCCATGGCCAAAGTGGTTCAAATTTTTTACCTGGATTATTGAGCATTAACTTTGATATTTTGAAAAAGGAAACCATCCAGAGGACCTGACTTAACTTTGTTGGATAACAACAAAGACTTCACCTTAATGAAGTACGCTGATGATATGGCCCTAGTTGCTGGTCTGAAAGACACCAATAGCCCCTCCTGCTCCCAGCTCATAGATCAGCTCTCTGTCTGGTTTGATGACAGTTTTCTGGACCTTAATGTCACTAAAACCAAGGAGCTTTGTCTGTGAGGTAGATGGAGAACAACCAGCACCAGACGTGTATTCAGGCCTTCTGTTATAAAAGGGCTGAAAGTAGAGCAGGTGATTGAATTCAAATACCATGGAACAATAATTAACAAGTTGGCCTTTCAGCTCAACACTGACTGTATTTACAAAAAGCCAGACAGCGTCTCCACCTTCTCTATAATCTATAATCAGCTTTAATGCTGCAAAAATACATTTCAGTTGGTGTACAGGTCAGTGGTTGAAAGTGTAGTTTCCTTTTATATTGTCTCATGGTATGGGAACCTCCTAGACAGAGACAGGAACAAGTTGTTCCTGGTGGTCAGACTGGGTAGTAAAATCACTGGTCATCAACAAACAGTCTACAGACCTGTACAGTCAGTCAGATTCTAGGGAAAAAAAAAAAACTCAATCCAGGTTTACAATGGCCCAACTCATCCACTGCAACCATTATTCAGGTTGGTACCATCTGACAGAAGACTGCTGGTTCCTCTGGTAAAGAAAAATGGGTACAAAAAGTCATTTGTTCCTTCTGCTGTGAATGTTCTTAACAGAGTCCTATTTAAACGTAGCCTCACATGACAAACTGTTGTCTGCTGAGATAATTTTATGTTTTTAATGTATCGTGTATGTTAGAATGTTTTTATTGGGTTAGCTAAGCTTTTAAAGTTTCATGGCATTATTAACTTGTGTTGTTGTGTATGTATAAACCAGATGTCAAAGATAAATCTCCATCTCATGAAATGCTATGGACAATAAAGTTATAGTAATTGATTGATTGAAATGCATTCACAGAATGCTCTTTACACTGACAGAACTAAATGAGTAATAATTAAAACTCTGCTGTTTGCCTGTTGAGAAATAAAATCCCTGACAGCCAACCAAGAAAAATAAAATATGGTCATTCACCTAAACCAATGGAGTCCTTTGCTTCAGTTGGCCATGTTTGTGATCCTGTTTCCTTTTGGCTCCACTTCTTGTTGTCAAGATTGTGAATAAATTCAGCATCTTGAATGCCATTTTGATCAAAAACAATAACAGTTAAAGTGAGTTCATGTTTTGATTTAATGTTCTTGATTAATTAAGGAATAACTTGGAAGCATAATTCACTCTTCATGGCACACTGAGCTCGAAAATGTTGTGATCTTTAAGTTTGTCTTGAGACTTATCACCTCCATCATGGACTCACATTGACTCTGCATTATTTTTATGGATGGATTTACACTGCAGCAGCACGATGGATCAGTTGGTAGAGCTGTTGCCTCTCATTGAGAAGGTCAAATCTTGGCCCAGGACCTTTCTGGGTGGAGTTTGCATGCTCTTTCCATGCATGCATGAGTTTTCTCTGGTTATTGTGCTCCGGTTTCCTCACACAGACCAAAAACATGCATGTTAGGCTGATTGGTAACTCTAAATTGTCCCTAGGTGTGAGTGAGAGAGTGAATGCTTGTTTGTCTCGTTTGTCTCTATGTGTCCCTGTGATGGACTGCAGACCTGTCCAGGTCTCCCTGTGATAGACTGGATCACTAGCCAAGACGAAACAATAATGATAATGATAATCACTCCTTCTTATCAATGGCCTAGCATGAAGCAATATGATCATCATCCATCATGTTTATTAGTAGCCTAATTAAATAAAATTAATTAAATACCTAATTAAAACTCCAGTAATGGGCTGGGTCTACTGTTACCCAGTTGTAGGGTCAAGAGACAAACATGTAGCATTAACACAGTATGAACAACATTCAGGAATTGTTTCTATAAGAACATTATCAAATATTTTACATGAATGGTAAGATCACTCCACCCACAAGGAAATGTAACACAGGGTGAGCTAACCTCGGACAAACTAGCAAACAACATGGCTGTAATGGTGGAGGTAGTGACGCTCACAGCGTTACCTCAGGCATTTAGTGAGGCTTATTGGCCAATATTAAGGCAAAGAAGACAGAAAAAAAATCTAAGCCGTTATTAACTTAAAATAGTTACTGCAGTGGATGTTTTCATGCTGCAGAGCGACACACAGGGCAAGAACTCAGAGTGAAATTCAGTATGTAAGAGTAAATTTTACATTACCCAACCTATGAAACCTTCTTTCAGCCTTTCCCTTTTCAGGGATCACCACGAGTCATCCTCCTCCATCTCACTCTGTCCTCTGTCCTCACTCCAACTACCTCCATGTCCTCTCTAATTGCATCCATATATATCCTCTGTCTTTTTCCTGGCAGCTACATTTCTAACATCCTTCTACCAATATACCCACTGTCCCTCCTCTGGACATGTCCAAACCATCTCAGTGTGTCCTCTGTAACTTTATCTCCCAGTTGTTCAACCTGTGCTGTTCTTCTGATGATCTCATTCCTGATCTTATATATCCTTGTCACTCCTAAGGAGAACCTTAACATCTTCATTTCTGTCACTTTCAGTTCTGTTTCCTGTCTTTTGGTCCATGTCTCTGTCTCCAGACCATACGTCTCACCACTGTTTGTAAACTTTTCCTTTGACCATCCAGATTTACAACGAGCATTGTTTGCTAACACTTAGCATGATAAAAACGGCTACAAATCATGGGATTAGCTTACTTACTGCCTTTGTTTCACGTCGTACGACCACAAACTTCTGGGATAAATCCACGTTGTCAAATATTATTCTGTAGTATAGTATTTGCATGTCAGTGCTGAAACTCCAGAAGACGCTGGTTGGCTGGATACACAAATCATGTGACACAGGTCTGTTTTGACTTGGGGGGCGTGTTTTCGTCCTCCACTTTGCACGCACCAGGTGCTGCACTGTACAGACAGTTGCGCTCGGACTGACAGTTTATTATAAAACGGGATATAACCTTGTGGTCAGTTTGCAACTGCGCAGCATAGATTTTCTTATGCGCAGAGAATGTGAGCAGTGCGTGATTGTGCAGGCGTGTAGCTTAGTGGGAACATTGGTCTCGTCTATAGCAGGGGCTTCACTGATGTGGTATTAGGAGGTGAATGTATAGCGATAGGACATGACTGTGAAAGGTGCAGTATGCCGCAGTGCAACAGGAATGCATGAGGATCATTACACAACCAACCACTTACATCACAAGACAAAAACCCTCACATTGTGAGATGCAAGGAAAAAAAATATTCAAAATACAGCAACATGTGGCAACATGTGACAAAATATGAAACAGCAAGAGAGTAGTGAGTAGGAAAACCAAAATACAATCAACTTCTTGGGAATAAAGTTCATGTTGAATACTCTCATTTTTAATTTCCATTTTCTGCATCATGCCAGAAAAAGAACTACACAAATGTTATCCCCCCACATGTCAGTGTTCCTAACATTAAAAATAATCTCAAACTGCACTGCAAACAGAAAAAAAACACATCCTAAACAGACTTGAATATTTAATCATCTACGAAGTGCCACATTTTTATACAACAAATAATGAACCGGACCGTTTTGTTTAGATTAGGAATGTTTAATATTGTGTACCATTTGAACAGATAGGTAGGAGTACTCTTCACTGGATGTACTTACAGAGCAACATCACTGATCTGAGATCAGATTACAACAGAGGATGAACACTGGATGTTACAGTTGATGAGAGTACAGTCCTGTCAGGTCTGTAAAAACACCGTAACACTCGTCCTTCTGGTTAGCTGGAGGTTTTTCAGAGATAAAAAAACAGAAATTCTTCACAGTATTAGTTTGTCACATCCATGCATGTCATTGTAAGTTGTCCATGTCACAAATGGCACTTTATCAAAGAAAATAGATTAAAACAAAATAAGGTGAGAGGAAAAGGAGCAGGTTTTATACTTTCATGACCACTGTGAGGAAATGTTTAGGATCAGATTGGAGGAACGTGTTGGCTCCATCGCGCTGCCCTCCAGTTCTCTGGACTGTGTCGTATGAAGCGTTCCTACAGCCCAATAACTGAATCAGAACAAAAATAAAGCCAAACTTTACAGACGGAGAGCACAGAACATCGCCACTGTTTTAGAAATGGTTACAAAATATATCAGCACACAGAAAAGCACAAAGAGATTTCTTGTTTTAAAGCGAACACAGAACAAATCAACATATTCAAATCAGTTTTCTGGCACAAGGAAAAGTTGGCAAATCATTGAAGCGGTAGCATAAAACAAGGTACAGGCAGCGTTACACGAAGGCAGCTCAGTCATGAGTCCCTACAGAGGTCCAACAGGAGGTCTAAAGGTCCACTCCCTCGTTTGACTCCAGGAAACCTCTCTCACATCTGATCCTTCGTCAACCTATAAAGTGCTTTCATAAAAATAATCTTCTCCTCGTTATAATCATCTGTACAAGTCAGTTTATTAATCCTGGAACGGTGACAGGATGAAAAGACATGAGGGGCAGTTAAAGAGTCTTCTTTCAAGCGCGAGCAAAGAGCTCCTCGTGTTCTCCTCCAGCGTTCACTTCTTGAAGGGGGTCAGTCGACCGATGTTGTGCCAGAACGTGGTTTTGCGTTTGGGCTCGGCCAGCATGAAGACCTGCTGCTGGGGCAGAGCAGTGGGGAGGGAGGGATGCTTCTGTCGCAGGAGGAAGTCGCAGTACGGCCTGGTCACCGCTGACAGGAAGTACAGACAAGAAGGTACAATAAATACTTACAGGAAGTCAAACCACTGGCACAGAGTTACAGTAACTACAACCACAGCTTATACATTATTCTTTTTTCCGCCTAATTCAGCAAAACTGTACTCTCTCCACTTCCTTCTGGTAGATTAATCTGCTTTCTGCCTTTTTAGCTACTTTTCAGCTGTTTCAGCTGAATTCATTTTTACTTTGAGAAAAGAAAGCCTGAATATTAGGCTGACGGCAGGATTGATGAAAGTTGCAACTTTAACTTTAAAACTGTGTTAAAGGCCCAGTCTGTGTCATACAGAGCCTTTTAACATTAAACATCTCAAACTTGGAAAACTTTTTCTTTTTTGTAACGTGCAACAACATCAACAATGCTTTTGTCCACACAAGTGCTGCTCACTGGATCTGTTCTGTTTCTTGGACTGTTCTCTTTAAACCATAGAGATGGCTGAGTGTAAAATCTTATTGGCTCAGTGGTTTCTGAAATACTCAGATCAGCTGACATCTTCGGCACGTTGTCTTCACCATATCTACAGGCATACAGGAGTTGGGTTGATGTCCAGCGATTGGCTGATAAGCTCTTTGTGTGATCAACTGTTGGATTCGATATCTTTTATATCTTTTTATATCTTTTGACAACCCTTGACATTTCTCTGATGAGGTGAAATGATGCATTTTCTACAAGGTGTGTGCGTGTATAATCATACACTAATTACTTCATGTTATATATAATCTCACAAGTGCTAAGGATAATCATACAAGTTCACATTTGATATAATTCTGAGGGAAACAGAGACAGGTAAGACACTTGTTCGTGCA